CAAATCAGAGCAAAGCCTTGGTCATACATACTATGTAAAAGGTCACACCCACATTGCAGAATAAAGAATAGAAAGGATCTCTTTGGTAGTGTCTCTAAAGTGAACCCTTATCTTTAATGTAGAACTTGTGTCTTGAAATGGTAATATTCAAAAATATTCACCATCAAAGCACTCAGCATACCATCATCATATTGGACATTGGGGTACTCTAGATTAGATGGATTATAGATTTATTCCAAAATGGCATTTCCTACATCCATTGATTCATGTGAAATCAATGGAATTTCAGGGTGAAGGAACAACCCTGTAGGAACTTTAAAACATTTAAAAATATTTTGTTTATGCAGGCCACTGCAAGTAACCTCCTAGGACTGTCCCCATAGGCATTCAACAGAGCGTAGAGGGTGCCCACCCAAATGTTTCCTAAAGCAAAGTACTAAACAGAATGGAAAAGAATAACGCACGCTATGCAATTACTGAACTAAGAGTGCTAGGTCCCTGTGATACCTGTTATCAAAATGATTGGCACATCCATGGATAGAGCTGAAGAGGCTAAGTGAAGAAGTAAAATGGGAAAGGTATATTCTCTCCACTGTAGGGACTATAATCTCCAAATTAGCTTGTGCAACAATATGTTCGCTAGTGTTGATGTCTGGGTAATGGAACAGAATCCAAGCTGAAAACTTTTATGATACAGTTCAGAAGGTATCATTTTTGTAACCTCTTGTTTGGCATCACAAGCATCCCAGCAATTTTCCACAGGAAAATTGGAGATTCTCCAAGGTTGGGAGGGAATGGAAGTTCATATGGATGACATTTTAGTTGATAGGGGAGTCAGAGAAAGAGCATCATAAACCAATAGCAGAATATGCATGAGGGAAGTCCCGAGTAGTAGATGACAGTGGGGTAAGCCCAGCTCATCTGTTGATCGGTCAAGAGATCATAACAAAATTGCCAACCTTCATCCCAAGTGGCTCTATTTAAAGGATCTGAGGTAGAGATGCCAAATGTAAAATCTCAGGCTTTATCCTTTAAACATTAGAATGCAACTAACACTTACCCAAGCTTAAACAAGGAGACCCAGTCCAAATAAAACTGAATTAGGAAAGATATTGGACAACTCCAGTTGTTAATGCATGAAGCTGCACCCCAAGATCCTGCATGGTTCAGGCTAATAGAGGTACAAAGAATCTTGAAGAACGACTGGCAGGTAACCAACACAACTGATTCCAACCACAGATGCATGTTTCCCTTATAGCAATAGCACTCACAGCTGGAGTGAATGGGTGAATTCAGTAAATCTACTGAACCAGAACCTACATCTTTGGGATTTGATAATCCAGATCAATCAGCTGGACAAAACCATTCTCAATCACAAAACTGTGAAGCTAGTGACTCAGCTGGGTAATCTGTTGTTAAAGATTATTTCTTGTTACAGGTTGTTTATACAAAAAACCCAGGGTGGATAAAAATCAATGATTTTTTTTTAATCTGACTTTTTTTATTTAAATCAAATTTTTTTGATAAGTTTTTTCCCTCAAAAAGCATTTTATCTAAAGATAGTTTTAATTAAGATACATTATTGCTCAAAGATATATCATCATGGAGTAGGGATTATAAATTCTAATTATATAGTATGAGACAATATATTCCTGTAATGTTTAAAAAAAGTTTTGTAAATGAGTTCCAATAGTTAGTGGATTAGGGACCCAATCTTATAGGGTTCCACAGGCTTCTGTATAGATTATTTAGGCTAATCTTTCTGTCTACCCAATGGGACTCAGTGCTCAGTCTAGAACAGTGGTTCTCAAAGCCGGTCTGCTGCTTGTTCAGGGAAAGCCCCTGGCGGGCCGGACCGATTTGTTTACCTGCCGCATCGGCAGGTTTGGCCGATTGCAGCTCCCACTGGCCGCGGTTCACTGCTCCAGGCCAATGGGGGCTGCGGGAAGGGCGGCCAGCACGTCCCTTGGCCCATGCCGTTTCCCGCAGCCCCCATTGGCCTGGAGCGGCGAACCGCAGCCAGTGTGAGCAGCGATTAGCCGAACCTGCGGAGGCGGCAGGTAAACAAACGGGTCCAGCCTGCCAGGGGCTTTCCCTGAACAAGTGGCCAGACCAGCTTTGAGAACCACTGGTCTAGAATACACCATCAGAGATGCTTAGTTTTGCAGTTCTCAAACTGTGGATTTGTGTCTCCAGAGGTAGCAAGATGCTTGTTAACAGCAAAAATGATTTAAAAAAAATAATATATAAAGGTGAGAAATAACTGACCTCAACTCTATTGTCCCTCTGCAAATTTGTGTACACAGAGTCTATCCCTTACCTCTCTCTAAAACTGCGAAGTTTCAAAAAGTTCAATGAATAGAAGATTGTTGGGAGCAGAACATTGGACAAGGAGAAGTCTGGAGATAAATGTGAGACGCGAGGGACATATGCTTGTTTTGTTAAAATATTGTATGTTTGCTGTTGAAGAAAAAAATCCAGAATACTTAACATTTAAACAATTTAAATGTCTGTCTGGTGATGTTCTCATCCCAATACAGCATGGCAAGAAAATCCTCCAAATATTAATGATTAACCTGTTGAATTGGAGATAGTTCACCTCTCAATGACTTCATAAACATCTGCCTCAATTGCCTTTGGTAAATGAAATAACCAAACAATCATTCATTTTCTGATATAGCTGTAAAACTAATCTGAAAAGTTTTCAAAATAAATACTGTTTAAAAACGTATAGTGTGTACCTTCTAAAAATGAAACCTACATCTATCTCTGAGTTGTGAAGAATATGTATTAAGGTTATATTAACAAACAAGAATGCACTCTTATGTAGAAAACCACGATTAAATAGAGTCTTCCTGACTAGTGATTTAAATCAAATCCACCCTGAAAAAACCTCAAACAAACAAAAACCCAAACCTATTTTATTCATTTTAATAAAGTTCCTTGTTCAGTATTAGAAGAAAGCAACTCTTTCTGAGATTCTTTACTAATGTCATATAACAGTACATGCCCAAAATGTGAATAGAATATGGTAGGGCAACATCCTCAGGGTTCTAAGTACCTATATTGTTCTTAACTGACCACTTTGTTTCAAAATGAAATTAAGAGAGCAGAGATCACTGTTCATGAAACAAAATCAAAATGCTTCCTCTATTTACAGCCACATTTAACTATTAAAACAATTGCAAGAACTAGGCTGACAATAAGGCTTATTCCAAACTAGGAAGCAAACAAAAAAAAGCCATGCTCAGGGAAAGCAAAATCAATGCTTACCACATGGAAAAGACTGGTAGAGAGAAAAATGTTATCTTTAGACTTTGTAAAGGGAATAAATTATAAACAATTGAAATGTTAAATGAAAATATTAAAGAGTGTACTTTTTATTGTAAATGTGTATAATTGTGGCTAACACAATGTTATACAGTGACAGAACAAAACCTATCATCTACGGCATAAGACTGGGATATTCTGAAGTATTGCAATAGGAATATATCTGCATACCAACTGTCCTTCATTAGGTGCCTATGGCCAGGATGATCTGTGATAATATCAGATCTCGACCTTCCAAGGTGGTGTTAATATTAAATTTACTCCTGGGGGAATTCTGTACCACTGTGCACATGCAGAATTCATGTCCCCCTGCAGATTTTTTTCACCACAGAATACAGATTCTGTTGGAGAGGTGATACAGTTACACCTTTAGCCCACCAAGGACTGCTGTGGCCCCAGAAGAGAGGGCAGCCAGCAGCTGTGTTCCTCACAGCTGGGCCAAGTGAGGAGTCATGGGAGAGACAGAGTGGGGCACATGGGTTGCTGGAGGGGATGTCACAGACTGGGGTTCAGAATGGCTAGTGGGGGACAGAATGGGGTGCAGGCTCAGGAGCTAGTGGCATGACAGCGTTGAGCCAGAGGCTAAACGGGGGTGTGTGTTGCAGGGCCACATGGGGTTGGGGGAGGCGGGTGTAGGGAAAATGTGCTGACTGAATGGAAGAGGCTAGAGGTCAGCCAGGGTCTGCATGGGGGAAGCTCCCCAACTCCCAAAGAATCCTTCCCCCCACTGAAAAAAATCCATTCCATATTTCTCCCACTCACACCCAACAACCCTCCAGATTCACCCCCAGGCTCCTTCCCTCTCCCTCAGCTCCTCTGTTACCCCTTACCCCCCCAAGCCTTTGCACTGCCTCTGGGAGGTTCGAGAAATATGTTTCGGTATTGTAGTTTGAACAAATTATTACTCAAAGTTCTGGACTAATATGCCTTGTAAGGAATCTCTGTCAACAAACGTATCCTGAGTCTTTTTTGTGTGTGTCTCTGTATTGTTACAGACATTCTTGTTGACAGGTATTTTGAAATAAATTATGCAAATAACCAAAGCTAATGTGATTATCTTGTGTTACACTGACAACTAAAATATGCAGAATTTTAAAATACGGTGCACACAGTTTGTAATGACAGGTTTCAGAGGAACAGCCGTGTTAGTCTGTATTCGCAAAAAGAAAAGGAGTACTTGTGGCACCTTAGAGACTAACCAATTTATTTGAGCATGAGCTTTCGTGAGCTACAGCTGATGAAGTGAGCTGTAGCTCACGAAAGCTCACAGTTTGTAATGTTTGGGCGCAGACTTCCCCTAGGAGTATCCATCCAGCGGTGACCATCGTGCTGTAGGGCTGGAGCGGCTCTCAGGTGGAGGAGGCACAGAGGCAGCTCCTTCAAGTGCCAACAGCAATTTCTGCAAGCCCTGCCTTACTCCCAGGCAGAGGAACCTGACCCATCGTGTCCTGCCCACGCAGCACACCCGTCACTGCACCCAGCTCATCCTACTTGTACGGAGCCCGCGGAAGCCGCTGCGTAAATAACCCCCTGAGCAGTGGTTTCTCCGGGAATTGAAATTAGGGGGGTGTTTGAATTTACAGGGGTGTGTGTGTGTCAGGGCCAATGAGGAGTGAGACTGTGAGGGTGAAGGTGCGCTGTATGGCACCATAGTAAAAACTGAAAAAATGTTTCATGACCATTTTATTAGATTTAACTCGTGTTTTAAAATCATCACACAAATTAAAGTTGGCTACTCAAGCCTCCTATGAAGCACTACGTCTACATCCTTCTTGGTTTCTTGTTATAATTTTGCACAACTCAGTTAATGAACTTCTTGAATGCAATGTGTTCATCTTTGGTGGCTTCTCGTGTGTCCGCTACTTCCATTCTTTCAATTGATATGCTCATTAGTTCATTCACATGATCAGAACGAAGACTACTTCTTTCAGAACACAAAATTATATTCAATGATGAAAAAGAACGCTCAATTGTAGCTGTTGTGACTGGGAGTAGCAAGAGATGAATTCCTACTTCTTTCATCCCAGGAAACATAGCACAAAGATCAGGTCGAGTCATTAGCGATGATAAAAAAAGAAGTTGAAGTCAAATCTTCATTCATTCGTCGTATGATATTCCACTCTGTGTTCAAATTCTCTATTCTGTCCTGAGCACATAGAATCATAGAATATCAGGGTTGGAAGGGACCCCTGAAGGTCATCTAGTCCAACCCCCTGCTCGAAGCAGGACCAATTCCCAGTTAAATCATCCCAGCCAGGGCTTTGTCAAGCCTGACCTTAAAAACCTCTAAGGAAGGAGATTCTACCACCTCCCTAGGTAACGCATTCCAGTGTTTCACCACCCTCTTAGTGAAAAAGTTTTTCCTAATATCCAATCTAAACCTCCCCCACTGCAACTTGAGACCATTACTCCTCGTTCTGTCATCTGCTACCATTGAGAACAGTCTAGAGCCATCCTCTTTGGAACCCCCTTTCAGGTAGTTGAAAGCAGCTATCAAATCCCCCCTCATTCTTCTCTTCTGCAGGCTAAACAATCCCAGCTCCCTCAGCCTCTCCTCATAAGTCATGTGTTCCAGACCCCTAATCATTTTTGTTGCCCTTCGCTGGACTCTCTCCAATTTATCCACATCCTTCTTGTAGTGTGGGGCCCAAAACTGGACACAGTACTCCAGATGAGGCCTCACCAATGTCGAATAGAGGGGAACGATCACGTCCCTCGATCTGCTCGCCATGCCCCTACTTATACATCCCAAAATGCCATTGGCCTTCTTGGCAACAAGGGCACACTGCTGACTCATATCCAGCTTCTCGTCCACTGTCACCCCTAGGTCCTTTTCCGCAGAACTGCTGCCTAGCCATTCGGTCCCTAGTCTGTAGCTGTGCATTGGGTTCTTCCGTCCTAAGTGCAGGACCCTGCACTTATCCTTATTGAACCTCATCAGATTTCTTTTGGCCCAATCCTCCAATTTGTCTAGGTCCTTCTGTATCCTATCCCTCCCCTCCAGCGTATCTACCACTCCTCCCAGTTTAGTATCATCCGCAAATTTGCTGAGAGTGCAATCCACACCATCCTCCAGATCATTTATGAAGATATTGAACAAAACCGGCCCCAGGACCGACCCTTGGGGCACTCCACTTGATACCGGCTGCCAACTAGACATGGAGCCATTGATCACTACCCGTTGAGCCCGACAATCTAGCCAGCTTTCTACCCACCTTATAGTGCATTCATCCAGCCCATACTTTCTTAACTTGCTGACAAGAATACTGTGGGAGACCGTGTCAAAAGCTTTGCTAAAGTCAAGAAACAATACATCCACTGCTTTCCCTTCATCCACAGAACCAGTAATCTCATCATAAAAGGCGATTAGATTAGTCAGGCATGACCTTCCCTTGGTGAATCCATGCTGGCTGTTCCTGATCACTTTCCTCTCATGCAAGTGCTTCAGGATTGATTCTTTGAGGACCTGCTCCATGATTTTTCCAGGGACTGAGGTGAGGCTGACTGGCCTGTAGTTCCCAGGATCCTCCTCCTTCCCTTTTTTAAAGATTGGCACTACATTAGCCTTTTTCCAGTCATCCGGGACTTCCCCGGTTCGCCATGAGTTTTCAAAGATAATGGCCAATGGCTCTGCAATCACAGCCGCCAATTCCTTCAGCACTCTCGGATGCAACTCGTCCGGCCCCATGGACTTGTGCACGTCCAGCTTTTCTAAATAGTCCCTAACTACCTCTATCTCCACAGAGGGCTGGCCATCTCTTCCCCATTTTGTGATGCCCAGCGCAGCAGTCTGGGAGCTGACCTTGTTAGTGAAGACAGAGGCAAAAAAAGCATTGAGTACATTAGCTGTTTCCACATCCTCTGTCACTAGGTTGCCTCCCTCATTCAGTAAGGGGCCCACGCTTTCCTTGGCTTTCTTCTTGTTGCCAACATACCTGAAGAAACCCTTCTTGTTACTCTTGACATCTCTTGCTAGCTGCAGCTCCAGGTGCGATTTGGCCCTCCTGATATCATTCCTACATGCCCGAGCAATATTTTTATACTCTTCCCTGGTCATATGTCCAACCTTCCACTTCTTGTAAGCTTCTTTTTTATGTTTAAGATCCGCTAGGATTTCACCATTAAGCCAAGCTGGTCGCCTGCCATATTTACTATTCTTTCGACTCATTGGGATGGTTTGTCCCTGTGACCTCAACAGGGATTCCTTGAAATACAGCCAGCTCTCCTGGACTCCTTTCCCCTTCAAGTTAGTCCCCCAGGGGATCCTGGCCATCCGTTCCCTGAGGGAGTCGAAGTCTGCTTTTCTGAAGTCCAGGGTCCGTATCCTGCTGCTTACCTTTCTTCCCTGTGTCAGGATCCTGAACTCAACCAACTCATGGTCACTGCCTCCCAGATTCCCATCCACTTTTGCTTCCCCCACTAATTCTACCCGGTTTGTGAGCAGCAGGTCAAGAAAAGCGCCCCCCCTAGTTGGCTCCTCTAGCACTTGTGCCAGGAAATGGTCCCCTACGCTTTCCAAAAACTTCCTGGATTGTCTATGCATGACAATATACATGGCAGCCCCATTGCAGCCCCATTGCTGGTAGTGCCTCACTCCACTCACCTGCCTGTGTTTTATAGGACAGGCATCTGTAAAATCTACGTAGAGGTTGAGTAGAATCTAGAAGTCGCTGTTGTAGATTTTTAAGAATCAAGTCTGTGTACTTTTTCAGTTGTCTTAAACACTTCTTGTCCTCTTCACTTAAGGATTCAATATAAATGCCTTCATTAGTCAACTTCTGGACTGAAGTCTTTGCTTCTTCCAGTACTTTTCCAGCATCCGATGAAGTGAGCTGTAGCTCACGAAAGCTCATGCTCAAATAAATTGGTTAGTCTCTAAGGTGCCACAAGTACTTCTTTTCTTTTTACTTTTTCAATGGATAGCTCTCTGATTGATCCAAATGTAGCTTCTATTGCTGGACAAAGATCTACTACTGTTGTAGCAGATGTCTGGATGGCATTGTTTAATGACCCAAGCGGTTTCAACAGTAGACTTATGAGAGAGAGAATGGCAATAGTCTTCTCTGAACGTAATAGCAAAAGTAATCCACCAGCCTCACTACTTAGATCCATCCCATCTTGGTAGATACTTTCCAAAGCCAGTAATAACGGCTGGAGTAATTTTAAGATAACAGCCAAGGATCGCTCATGAGAAAGCCAGAGGGTTTTCCCAGGTTGGACTAATTTGAACTTCAGTCCCAGTGTATCTTCTATATTTTCCAAGATATTTAGTCTTTTTGGACTCTTGCTGAAAAAAGAATATAATGAAGACATGAAATTTATACCTTTTTAAATGTCTTTTGAAGATTCTGCAGCTCATACTAGTGCTAGTTGGAGTAGATGGCCTCTGCAGTGTGTATAGGAGAGATTAGGATTACACTTTTCTCTGAGCAAAGCTCATACTCCACCAGGTCTTCCAGTGAAGTGTGCAGCTCCATCAAATGCACAAGCAGTCATCTGTTTGGGGTCCAATTGACAAGCATTTAACTCTTCTAAGATGTGGGTTGTTACAGATGCAGCCAATGTGTCTTCTATAACTTGAACATCTAGAAATGCCTTTACTGGCCTACCACTGACATCAAGATAACGTACTGTGACAAAGTTCCTCCTCTACCTTGGTGGGTCTTACGCTTATTGGCGGATTTGCTCACCTTGGAGCTTCACAGCAGCCCTCAGTTTGGCCATTTTTCTAAACCCACAGTCCAGGTTAACTCCTCCTGTGTCTGACCAGGAGTTGGGAGGTTTGGGGGGAACCCGGGCCCGCCCTCTACTCCGGGTTCCAGCCCAGGGCCCTGTGGAATGCAGCCATCTAGAGTGCCTCTTGGAACAGCTGTGCGACAGCTACAACTCCCTGGGCTACTTCCCCATGGCCTCCTCCCAACCCCTTCTTTATCCTCACCATAGGACCTTCCTCCTGGTGTCTGATAATGCTTGTACTCCTCAGTCCTCCAACAGTCCGCCTTCTCACTCTCAGCTCCTAGCGCCTCTTGCTCCCAGCTCCCTTTTTTTTTTTTCCGGAGCACCATGATTTATTGTCCTTGTGCACATACCTTCCCCAGCTGAGTCAGCTCACAAGGAATCGTTTTTTTCTCCTTTCAGCAGAAGCCCCGGTTTTGGCCTCTGGTTTACAGCAGACTAAAGCATTACCAATGCCACACAGGCACCAGCCCACGCATGGATTTGCTCAGGCACAGCAGGTGAAGGCTGCGGTGAGAACAGGGGACAGTCCTTTCAACAGAGGCAAGAGCTGGGGCTGGCAGGTACAAGTGACACAATTAAAAAGAAAAATCGATAACCATTCCTGGAAGCACGACACACAACATCCATATCCATGTTACAATCCCCAGTACGGTCCTGATCGGGTGCTGGGCTGCACAGAGGCACTGTCCGTGCCAAGATCACTTTGGTTTGCGCCATCTCACCAGACCAGAAGCATGGGCTGGAGAGGCAGTGTGCAGAGCTGGCAGGAGGGGACGCCAGGCCCCAAGGCAGAGCAGAGCAGGGACTCTGGCAGGAGTCTGCCTTTTCTGCCCAGAGCAGCTCCCAGAATAGTGCGTGGCTTTGACACGCACAAAAGCGCATCCACAGGAGGTCAAGGGCTGCGGTCTGCTATGCTGCATTGTCCAGCTAGAGCAGACCCCTACCCACGCCCAGGAGAGCCTTGCTGTCCAAAGCAAATCAAGGGTCCTCCACTGTTGCGTGAGAGGTTGTTTTGCTGAAAAAGGTTTTTTACATCCAGCTGGTTTACAAGGGAAGAGGAGATGTCAACGGATCCTGATTCTCCACCCACTCAGTGTAAAGTCTCACTCATGAGCTACACTGGTGCTCAGCGAGAAGAGGGGAAAGGGGCCTGATCCTGCCCTCCGGGGGCCTAATTCTGGTCACTAATTCATATAAGTCAGGAGTAACTCCAGTGAAACCAAGGGAGCCGCACTATAGCGGAGAGGAGAATCAAGCCCCGAACCTGTGCAGAGAGTACAAGTGCGTGTGCCTCAGTCGGGTTTCTTTACTACTCACAGCTGCAGAGAATCCCAACACAGGAGCGTTTCCCCGCAGGGCTGATCAGACACAGGCAGCGCAGGATGGTGGAGAATCAAACCTGGCCCATCCCTTTAAACCAGCTGCTATCTACAGGTGAGAGTAGCTCTTGATATGCATCAAATGAAACACCCCAACACGTAGTATACATATTAAAAACCACACACATCCGACCGGGCTCGTTACAGCACTAGAGAGCTGGAAACGGAGCCATTTAAATTGCGCCATGATATAAAACTCCCCCTGCCCTGCCCCCACGCCAGATACCCCTGGCAGACCCAGGTGGCCCAAGCTGTGATGTTCAGCTCTGACCACCCAGCCACGCTTGCGAGCAGCAGGACTGCTAAGGCCCTGGCTTGGATTCCACAATCACCAACACACATCTGTATAAATGACACACTAGTATATTAAGAAAAGGCCCCCACACTGCAGAGAAAGCCAGACCTTTGTGTTACTGTCTCACTGATAACTGTACCAAAGCTTAAACAATAGCGATCTGGCTTCAGAGAGCTGTTTGCTCAATGCCAATCTACACGGCGGCACTAAACAATGGGCTAGTTACTCCCACTCAGGGCTGGCTCCCTGGACAGCTTCTCCACTGAGTTTCTGTCAGAATTAACAGATCGCTCTCCCTAGTCCAAAACCAAGCAGCCAGCAGGGGAGGGGGGCGCGGAGTCCTGCTTGGACACGTCTTTGAGCTTTTCACACAGATATTTCACTCCTTTGCCAAGGCTAGGTAAGTGCTAATGCATGCATTTGGTGGGATTTACACCCCCGATATGCCACTGGATTGTATCCAGGGCTGACCCTGCTATGTTTTAAAGCGCTCTGTGGCGAGTAGCGAGTGGAAGTAGGGTTAGGCACCAGCCAAAGCAGGTTGTTGCAGTCTGTGGTAATTGACCCCAGGTTCTTCCCCTGCCTCCCTGGTTTGTGAAATACAATTTACAAGTTATATGCTCCAGGCAGCTGCTGGACATTCAGGTCCTGATTCAGCAAAGCACTTCAGCCTCTGCTGAAGCTTTTGGCTCCTGTGAAGTGTTTACTGAGCTGGGGAATGAGACCAATTCAGATGCTCAACGGCAAGGTCAGAGCCGCTGAAATGCTAAGACCGAAAGGGAACTGTTTTGTCACAAAAATACTGCTCCAAATTCACCCCAGGGGGAAGCCAGAGTCACCCAGGGACAGGCTGTTTGTGTTTAAATGAGCTTCCAGGGAGCGCAGCTACTGCTGGGAGATAACGCCACGCCCAAGGCAGGGCTAGGCAGACTGGTCTCACACCATAAGCGTGGTGATATCTGGCAGCTGCAGCAGGTCCTGGAGTCTCCCTGCCAAGCTAAGAGGCCAGTGAATCAGAGAAATGAGGGCAGGATGTGGCCCGAAGGGGCTGAGATGAAGGACCCATCTCCACTATTCAAGAGCGATCTTGTTCCCCCAGCACCAATAAAAGCACAATTCCATTTTATGAGAACAGGACTTTCACCATCGCCCCGAACCTGGCTGGATTCTGAATCCAGAACATGGCTTGTGGGGCAGAAGAGACACAATCAAGATCCCATCTACGCTACAAGAGGGAACAGTGCCGCAACAACAGCTGATATGCATTTGACAGTGTCAATGGGCCCTCGGAGGGAATCCTGCAGGGATGACGCTTCCTCACCTCCCACCAACCACCCAGCTCCTTACAAGCGCACCACAAACTGAAGTGAGCTCCTTTTTAAAACCAGGTGCCCTGATTAGCCTGCCTTAATTGATTCTAGCAGCTTCTTGATTGGCTGCAGGTGTTCTAATCAGCCTGTCTGTCTTAATTGTCTCCAGAAGGTTCCCGATTGTTCTGAAACCTTCCCTGTTACCTTATCCAGGGAAAAGGGACCTACTTAACCTGCTTTCTATTACTCTATTCTGTTACTCTCCTGTAGCCATCTGCCCCGACCCTGTCACAGTACACAATAACTTAATACTTGATTCCCATTTGCATCGCTGCATTCATCAGCCATGTATACAATTTTTTTGAATGTGGTGAGAGAGTTCTTCACTTCTTCAACGGTTGAATCTTTCACTGTTGCACCACATGTGTCTAGCCAGTCAGTTGAGTTTCCTGCAGAAATATAGTGAGTATTTTCCGGTCTTGTTTGGAACCAGTGTTCAACTACAAGATGAACAAGTGACAATGCACTTAACATTGGCCTCCAGTCTGCAGCGTGCGGTATCTCTTGCTTAAATAAAAAGTATAATACCACGGCCATGTTTGTTCACATGAACTGTGTTGTGTCTCCAGCATTCTTAACAGCCTCATTAAGTACTTGTAAAATTGGCTTTGAAAGTGGGCTTATGAGGCTTTCTGCATGTCGATGCAGTCCAGAGGCCTGGTGTTTTGCTGCCTTTTCACATAGTTTGTCATCATTGGCTTTGCTGATCGGTCTGACAAACCAAGCTTCTCCACTTTTACCAGTTATAGCATTGGAAAGCTTTCCTTCTTTGTAAGTTTTTCTGCAAGAGGTGCACCAGTAGCCATCTTTTGTAACTTCAATAAATGGGAACACTTTGACCGACAAACATCAGGAACTGCCTTTAGGTTTTGAAGACACTTTCTTCAGTAGGTAGCTGTATTTGTGCTTTGGGCTGGTTGGATGTAGATACACCACCAAGATGACATGTTGATATATTCAAGGTGAAGAACACATCAAGAACCAAGGTTAGTTTTTGAGGCCTTTGAGTGGAAAAATTATTGTATTTTTTTGTCTTTTCATTTTCACTTTGACCTACAACATATAAAAGAGATATGAATAAAGTATATGTTTTGTTAGGATAATGCAAATTTAACACAAGGATAATGCAAAATACACCAAAACACATAACAGGTCTAGATTTCTAAAAAAATATAAATTAAAAAAAATGTATTTAATTTAAATTGACATTTGAAATGTAAGCCATCATGGGATAAGAGGGAAGTCCTCTCATGGATCAGGAACTGGTTAAAAGATGGGAAACAAAGGGTAGGAATAAATTATCAGTTTTCAGAATGGAGAAAGATAAATAGTGGTATCCCTGAGGGGTCCATACTGGGACCATTACTGTTCAACATATTCATAAATGATCTGGAAAAATGGGTAAACAATGAGGTGGAAAAGTTTGCAGATGATACAAAACTATTCAAGATAGTTAAGTCCAAAGCAGACTGCGAAGAGTTACAAAGGGATCTCACAAAACTGGGTGACTGGACAACAAAATGGCAGATGAAATTCAATGTTGATAAATGCAAAGTAATGGACGTTGGAAAACATAATCTCAACTATACATACAAAATGATGGGGTCTAAATTAGCTGTTAACACTCAAGAAAGAGATGTTGGAGTCATTGTGGATGGTTCTCTGAAAATATCCATTCAATGTGCAGCGGCAGTCAACAAAGCAAACAGAATGTTGGGAATCATTAAGAAAGGGATAGATAATAAGACAGAAAATATCATATTGCCTCTCTATAAATCCATGGTACGTACACACCTTGAATACTGTGTGCAGATCTGGTCACCCCATCCCAAAAAAGATATATTGGAATTGGAAAGGGTACAGAGATGGGCAACTAAAATGATTAGGGGTATGAAACAGGAGGAGAGATTAAAATGACTGGGAATTTTCATCTTAGAAAAGAGACGACTAAGGGGGGATATGATAGAGGTCTATAAAATCTTGACTGGTGTGAAGAAAGTGAATAAGAAATGTTATTTAATCCTTCACATAACACAAGAACTAGCAGTCTCCCAATGAAATTAATAGGCAGCAGGTTTTAAAAAACAAAAGGAAGTACTTCTTCACACAACATAAAGTCAACCTGCGAAATTCTTTGCCAGGGGATGCTGTGAAGATCAAAACTATAACAGGATTAAAAAAAGAACTCGATAAATTCCTGGAGCATAGGTCCATCAGTGACTATTAGCCAGGATGGGAGGGGATGCAACACCATGCTCTGAGTGTCCCTCGCCTGTCTGCCAGAAGCTGGGAATGGGCAACAGGGCTTGGATCACTTGATTACCTGTTCTGTTCATTCCCTCTGAAGCATCTGGCCTTGACCACTGTCAGAAGACAGGATACTGGGCTATATGGACCATTGGTCTGACCCAGTATGACCATTCCTATATAATAATAAAAACGTTTAGTACAGAAACTCACCAACATAATGACCTCTCAAGATAGCAACGATGTGAGATAACAACCCTGGCAAATAATGTATTCTAAAAATCTTGGCCTACTAGGAAACATATGTATATAAGTTTCCATTCCCAGTCATAAATCTAGCATTCTGGAGCAAAGTCACTAAAATATAGTCCCACAAACAAATGTTTATTTAACGTGCCCCTCACTTTTCCCTCCACCGCACCCCACTCACCGGTGTTGTCCTTGGTCAGTGGAGACTCAGAGTTCAGAGGTGCTTTCACGTGAGTTCACCTCCCAGGTGGGGGGTAAGAAGGCACCTTGCTCGTTCCTCCAGCTGCTCACTGTTCGCTCTGGCCACTGTTGTTCGTTGTGCCATGTTCACTCCACTGCTCTGTTGCCAATGGCCCTGTGCAGTCACCTTCTGCTGCCACCTGCCACTGTGACCTCTGCGAGTCGGTCTCTTGCGGTTCCGCCGGCTCTCAGTGATTTCAGCTGAGATCTCAGTGGGGGAACCTCGCTGCTAGTGCAGACTGGGCCGTCTCTTCCACAGAAACACTGTCCCCACAGCAGGACTAAGCACTTAGACCTGATTATCAGTGACTTCAGCTGTAGTGGTCACTTAACAGAACAAAAGATTCTCTATGGAGCCTAATCAGCTCTGTCCTTAAACAGTGGAGAGGGGCAGGTCAAATGGTACTTGTGACTCAGGCAGACCCTCAAGCAAAACACTTGTCCCCACCCTCTCTCTTGATGCCCTCAATCGGCACAGGCTAAGGACAGTTCTACTGCCCTTTACTCATACAATAAGAACAACAACATTTCATTACCCCCCCCCCCCACGCATTCAAGTGATTTGTAACCCAACCCCAGCCAAAATCTATTCCTTGGGCAACACAGCTCTGTTTGCTGGATACCTAGGTAGATTAGCTGTGAATGTAAATACAACCTGGTCCTGAAGCCTTCCCCCCCCCAGCCCCCAGCTCATCACTAGCTGTCGGGGGAGGGCTCATTTAGACTTTGCTTCCAAATCATAGTTTGAAATTATTAGGTTGGCCAACATCAGGGACATGAATGCACTGACATGGTCATAAAAACAACAGCTGTAGAAGGAAGCTAGTCTATGCTCACACTTCTCAAATTATTCTGCTTTTTCAGATACACGTCTTTTATCAGACACTGCATCTGCTTTTAAAGTGAGTATTAATGTTTCAGTTTCAAGTCACATTTCCAAACAGTCGCTACATTGGCATGTAACTAGTTCACAAAACGGGGGCGGGGGCCGGGGGGGGGTAGGGAAATCGCTGCCCCCGAGTAACTGCGGCTCCGCAAGCTGAGCGGCCCTTCTCCGGCCCGCGCAGCCCCGGGGCTCCGTCCCCGCGGCGCGGACCCCGGCGCCCACCGCCCGCGACCTTACCCGAGCGAAGGGGCCAGGGCCATGGCCGGGCGCAGGCACGGGGCGGAGGTTGTTGATACGGTCACCATGGAGACAAGCCCGGCCCCGCCGCCCAGGACCCCGCCTCCGCCATAGCTGGCCGGCGGCCGCCTGACAAACAGCCGCGCGCCAGTCCGAGCGCGTGGGGTCGGGGCAGGGCTCAGCTTGCGGGGCGGGGGGAGGCAGGGACGGCTGGGCCTGCTTGAGGTGTCCCCGCCGAGGTGACCTAGCCCGCCAGCGTGCGTCCGGGGCAAGGCGACGAGTAGCGCTGAGCCGGCTACCTGCGGGGGGGGGGTACCCTGGGGAAGGCGGAGGGCAGGCCGCAGGGGGGTATCCTGGGGGAGGCAGGCTGTAGGAGAGTACTTGAGGAAACCGGGGGGGGATGCAGGCCGCAGGGGGTACCCTGGGGGAGGCAGGCTGTAGGAGAGTACTTGGGGAAACCGGGGGGGGGGATGCAGGCCGCAGGGGGGTACCCTGGGGGAGGCAGGCTGTAGGAGAGTACTTGGGGAAACCGGGGGGTGGGGGGGGGGCTTGGGGAGGAGGGTGGGGGAGGGGGGATGCAGGCCGCAGGGGGTACCCTGGGGGAGGCAGGCTGTAGGAGAGTACTTGGGGAACCCGGAGGGGGGGATGCAGGCCGCAGGGGGTACCCTGGGGGAGGCAGGCTGTAGGAGAGTACTTGGGGAACCCGGAGGGGGGAATGCAGGCCGCAGGGGGGTACCCTGGGGGAGGAAGGCTGTAGGAGAGTACTTGGGGAACCCGGGGGGATGCAGGCCGCAGGGGGTACCCTGGGGGAGGCAGGCTGTAGGAGAGTACTTGGGGAACCCGGGGGGGATGCAGGCCGCAGGGGGTACCCTGGGGAAGGCGGAGGGCAGGCCGCAGGGGGGTACCCTGGGAGAGACGGGGGGTGGGGTGGATGCAGGACGGGTGCCTTAGGGAAGGTGCGGGGGGAAGGGTGCAGGGCGGGTACCTAGGCAAGGCGGGGAGGAGGACGCAAGGGCGACCCTAGGGAAGGCAGGGGGCAGGCGAAAGGGGAGAACGCAGGGGGTAGTTACCCTGCGGGACCAGGGTTGGTGTGTGCAGCAGGGGTTTAGCCCTGGGAGAGGGCGTTTCCCAGGACGTTGGTTATGGGGGTCCCCACACCGGTATGCGCCGGGCACAGTTCTGAACACGGCGCCGTGCCTGGCTCTTCGGCGGCGCTCTGGGGCTTGTAGTGCCTTGCGCCACCTTGCCGATGTGGGCAGCAGCTCCAGCGAACTCTCCTTCCCAGCGTGCAATGCGCCACAGCGCGGGGGCGGGGCCTTTGGCGCGGGGCCTCTCGGGAGTTGTAGTCAGGGCGTGCGGGAAGTGGCTTGTCAGGGGCGGGGAGCGGACTCGGATTCCCGTCGGGGCCGCGGCCCCATTGTAGCCGGGCCCGCAGCCCATTGGCTGGCGGAGGGAGCTGGGCCTCGCTCCCCGTCTGGTGACACAATAGCGAATCCAAGATGGCGGATCCGGGTGCAGGGAGCTTGCACGGGGGGGACGGGGGGCTGTCGTGCCCGCTCGAGGAGCAGGAGCTGAGCCAGCGCCTCCGCCGCCTCTACCCGGCCGTGAACCAGGCCGAGACGCCGCTGCCCCGCTCCTGGAGCCCCAAGGACAAGTACAACTACATCGGCCTCTCGCAGGGCAACCTGCGCGTCCACTACAAAGGTGCCGGCAGCCGCGCCGGGAGCCCCGGGCCGGGAGTCCGGCCGCCCTCGGGGCCGCGGGGAGCCGGCACCGGGCTGGTCCAGGGCAGCCGGGCCGCTGAGGCGCTGCGCGGGGCGGGGGCCTGGGCGCAGCCTGCAACTCCCTGGGAAGAGGGGCCGGGGGGGGGGGCGGGTTCTCCCTGCCCAGGCGGTCCCCTGCTGGGGGGGGGAGCGGAGCCGGGCCGGGCAGAGGGGCCGTCGTTCGGGGGTCGTGTGTCTACCCCCCAGTCTCAGTCGCTACCGCAAACCACGCCGAACTGCCCCCCTGATCTGTGGGGGCGGTTTGGGGCTTGAGCCGTCCCTGGGGTTTCCCCGGGCGAGGGAGAGCTAAAGCGGCGCTGAGCCCAACCCCCGCGTTCCTGCCTTATATAACACTTCGCGGTGTCATTTAGCTGGGGGCCTGGCTTCTTCTCTGTAAGGCTCTGCCCCCGTAGGGCCTCCTGTTGTCTCTGTCACCCCCTTACAATGCCGGCGAGAGGGGCTCCTGGCTGGGTACCTCCACCACTTGGGTTCATAGGAAATCAGTCAAGTTCAGAGCTCTAAGACCCATGATTTCATGTTTCTTCCCTCCCCACTGTGATGGAGGCTGCCTTTCCAGAATAGCCAGAGAGAGCTGAGCATACCGTCTCCCCTCAGCCTAATAAACACTGATGTCATCTTCATCTTGCACAATTGGTTTGTTTTGGGTGCTGAGATTTCAAAACGGGGGGTAGCATTATGCTTCTTTCTCAGCACCTTAAGAGGGTAGGCAAAGGGAAAGCTGCAGGAGCACATATTGTAGGTTATTTACATGGTGGCAGTGCAGGCTTGTGGTTTTTTTTAACTGACTGAGGAGTCATCTTCTAATTTCTCAGTAGACGCAGAATGAATTTTGCTGTTACAAGTCCTTTACTCTGTTCATGTAGTGTTGTTTTGAAATGAAGGGCCTAAGACCTTGCACCCATTAAGTACTCATTCAACTCTTTCCTAGGTCATGGGAAAAATCACAAAGATGCTGCATCAGTCAGGGCTACACACCCCATCCCTGCAGCTTGTGGCATTTATTACTTTGAAGTGAAGATTGTCAGTAAAGGTAGAGATGGGTAAGTGCACTGCTCTAATTTGATTCCAGTGTTTTATATGTGTTTACTAGTTCTGTTTTGCTCAATCTCCCTTGTTGGAAGGGTTAGAGGTCACTCAGATGACATTTATAATAGGCAGATATGTGGTGAGTGGTTATGTCTGTGTAGTCAACAGGTGGCAAGCCAATAATATATATTGGAATGTAGCTGCTCTCTTTGCTGTTTTGTATGGGTAATTATGACAACTTGAGAAGTACTAAGTCTCTAATTTCAGTATCCCTAGCCTGATTCTGTGCTTGCATATTTATACCTGCCTCTGGAAATTTCCATTACATGCATCCGAAGAAGTGGGTATTCACCCACGAAAGCTCATGCTCCAATACGTCTGTTAGTATGTAAGGTGCCACAGGACACTCTGCCGCTTTTATGTCTCTAATGGAGTTTGAAATTCAATACTGTTCCTTTCGTTTCAGTTATGTCTGAATAACTAACAGACTGCTGGAACTGAGTAAACGAATATTGCAACATCCTTGATAGCTGGACTGGTTTCCTGTATCCCTTAACTTCAGGGGAAATGGAAAATTGTCTCTGTTTCTAAAGTCTGGGAGGGGATAGCCCATAAACTGAAGTATTTCCCGTCAAGGATTCACTCATGTCAAAATGTGTGGAAGCTTTGCTAAACAGTTAAGGCAATGTGAGTGAATGAGGGAGTGACATGGGTCATTAATCACGGAGAATTGCGATTTTGTAGAGCTTGCTCTACATTAGAGTGCGGTTGACCCAGCTACATTGCTCATAGGTGGGAAAAATCCACACCCCTGAGCGATGTAGTTAAACCGACTTAATCCCTGTTTTAGACAGCACTAGGTCGACGGAACAATTCTTCTGTTGACCTGTGTGATACATGAGAGGAAGGGTAGCTCCCATTTGTGGACACCCAGCCAGCCAGTTAGCTCTAAAATCCCTCTTGGTAGCTGTAGTCTACTTGCTTTACCTGTAAAGGGTTAAAAAAGCCCATAGGTAAAAAGAAGGGCGTGGGCACCTGACCAAAAGAGCCAATGGGAGGGCTAGAATTTTTTAAAATTGGGGAAAAAACTTTCCCTTTTTGTGGTTCTGTTGCTCTCTGGAGAGAGGAGACACAGAGCAGGAACAGGGCTGAACTATGATGTAGGAAGCTTGACGCCAGGTATGATAAACCGTCAGTTCATACCTAGAGATTGCTTATCTGAAATCCCAGATATGTAAGTAAATCAGGGAATGTCTAGGAAGACATGATTATTTCTTTTATTTCTTATTGGCTTGTGGACTCCTCTGTGCTAACCCCAGGTGCTTTTGCTTTGCTTGTAACCTTAAGCTGAATCTCAAGAGAGCTATTCTTGATGCTTAATTTTTGTAATAGGTTTTTTTTTTTGATTTAGCAAAAAGCCTAAGTTCCAGATGTAAATTTTATTAAAAACAAAAAGAAAGAAAATACCTTTTTTAAGAACAGGATTGGATTTTTGTCTCCCTAAGAGGTTTGTGCATGTTGTTTAATTAGCTGGTGGCAAAAGCTGATTTCCTTTGTTTTTCTTTCTCGGCTCTTCCCTGGAGAGGTGGTGAAAGGGCTTGAGGATGGAATTCCCAAGTGCACCTTTCTGGTTCTCAAAAGGGTTTTTTTTTGCATTTGGGTGGTGGCAGCATCTACCCATCCAAGGTCAGAGAGAAGCTGTAACCTTGGGAGTTTAATACAAGCCTGGAGTGGCCAGTATTAATTTTTAGAATTCTTGTGGGCCCCCACCTTCTGCACTCAAAGTGCCAGAGTGGGGAATCAGCCTGTCTATTGCCTTTCCGGATAGTGGGAGAACTCTTCCCGTCACTGTAGGGATGTCTACATTGAAGTGCTACAGTAGTGCAGGTGCAGCACTGCTTCTGTGCTGCTGCTGTGTTTCAAGTGTAGACGCTCCCTAGATTTATTCACACAAGCCAGCCAGCCTCCTGAAAGGCCCAATTGAGAAATTAGGACACTTCGGGGCTGGCTTAGTGACTAATATTCTGATACAAATCCTGCTTCTAATGCTGGCTTTAGCCCTCAGTGTTTGGAAGGGTAGCAAAGGGTGGTGATTTCCAAATCTGAGGTCTGGAAGGGTTTGAACCTTATGTCTCAACCATTACGTTTGCTGGATGAAAAGGAGTAGCAGTAATTGAGCTCTGGGAGGAGGTCAATCATCTTGTCCAGAAACTATCCGTGTGCAGTGAGAAGAAGAGCTATCTAAAGGGAAGAAAACAAGGCCTTTGTGAATGTAGGTTGGAACTGTGTATCTTCTACCATCAGTCTGGGCCCTGGATTTCCACTTGATTAGGTTGTTTTCTGAAGGCTGATTACACCATAGGGGTTAGTGACAGGCAACAGCTGTGGGATTGGGAAATCCTAGTGCTGGAGGCAGAATGCCAAAATTAGACTATTCTTCCCATTAAATCTAGCCATTGAAATAACATCGGTTCCTATGGGCTGACTTTGGATTGATTTTCCAATCCAGCTCTGTAGGGCAGTAACGGCTGGAAGCACAGCAGAGGTGGTACATTGTGTCCATGGTATTAGAAGCAGAATGTGAATGTTGTCACTTTACAGTGTTCTCCAAGAGGCAGTTCAGTGAGTAGTGTTGAGTACTTAGTTTGAATCCCATCCAGCCCTCTGTTGCATGTTTATCACTACAGTAAGCATTTTTCTGGGAGCAAAATTAAAGGGTGTATTGGGGGTCATGGGATTCTGCATTCTGCTAGGGATGTTACGAGGAGAGGGGAAAATCTAATGTAATGTTGTGTAGTTAGCAAGCATGGTGACTGTTACATCTGGTTCTCATCACCTGTCTTGTGTAGATGAGCTAGCCAGGATGAAATTGATGCCCACCTGCTGTACAAGTATTTTCTGTTGCCTGAAGTGTGAACACAAGTGTAGCTATCCAGAGGGGAGAACAATCTAGGGTGAAATTGGTATAGTACAGGAGTCCTTTGCAGATGTGAGGACACATTGGATACAAGGCAGTGTAGGAGATTGTGAGAAGTAGAGTGAGGAACCTAACCAAAATCAAATCATGGGCATGGTTTCTCATTTGGGAAGGGTGGACTGAAATCAGGAGATGTGACTGTTTATAAAAAGAGCTTCATAAAGGCCTTCTGCCAGCTTGGATTGTAGGGGCTAGGTATGGCATGGTATTTACCAGAGGTGTTTTTTATCACCCGGGGAAAAACTAGTTAATCCCAGTTTAAGGCATTTTCTATTTTAAAAACTGTTCCATTAATGCACACCACGTTACACTTAGTTTTAGTTATATATTCAAATTGTGGTTGCCTAAGATAGTAGATTTGCAGATTTACAATTGTACAAACAAAAAGTAAAATGCATTAGGATTAATATTAATATGTACTGAATATTGAAATATCTATATATTTTGATTTGGCATTTTCTCAAAGAAGTTATGCATGTTATGACTCATATTTCAGTGTTCAATATTGTGTAAACAGGAGTCAAATGTTTGATTACATGAAAACACCATTAATGCGGAATTGTAGGCTTGATGCATTAAGCAATCAGAAGCATGTAGAGTTGCAAACTTCCAGTCCAGGTCCATTTGGCCATGCATCATTCTGTAGTGGATAGACCAAGCCTATTCCTCAGTTTTGACTGGATGTATCCAAAGTTTGAAAAGATTTGTTATATGCTTGCTGAACTTGCTGGACACTGATGCAATTATTTTTCCAAGTTTCCCAGTTTAACCTCCCCTGTCCTAAACTGTGTTTTCCCCAGGAAATTGCCAACCATAGTAGGGATTCCAATTTGGACGGCATGAGTAGGAGTAAATATTTATATTATGATAGCGCCCGAAGGCACAGTTAGTTTGTCCTTAAGGTGGACTAGGTCCATCTCATGTGGAGATGGCAGAATCACGTTAACTTGCTGGTTGACTCCCGAGGGCAGAGCTCTTGATCTTGACAAGCCATTTCTCTGCTGCACACCATAATGGTCATTATTTCCCATCATAATCTTATGAAGTACACTGCCATGTCTACCAACACCGTAGTGGTGTAAAAATCAAATGTCAGCAAGCCTATGGCGATGACACGACAACACCGTACCAAAACAATGCGTTGGAGAGTTTGCCAAGACCTCGTTTTGATGTCGAGGGCATGTCTGTGCTTGTTTCCCTGTTGCTGGAGGAGGGAGAAATTAGATGCACAGCTGCATTGAGAGTACTCAGGCTGAGACCTAAACCACAAAAGCATGTAGGTTCTGTGTTATGGCTGCTGCAGCACCAATAAAGATTGCTTGTCCTAGGCATTGCAGTGCTGGATCCTGTATTGGAGGCTGTGCAGCACTATACATACTGTGCTGGCTTTTCAAAGACCTCCCAGGGTATGTAACATCTCTCAGGTCTGGGACCCTTTGCTAAATTGTGCTGTGGTACCTGGAAACAGTAGGGCTGCTACAGCCCCACTAACTCAGAACTTCCTTTTGTGGGCTTTGTCTGATCCTTAATGTTTTACTTTTCAGACTTGGTTTGGGGCCTAGAGTATTTGTAACAGTGTGTCAGGTGAATGTGTCTATACCGCTACTGAGTTTGGCAGTGCTTGGTACATCCGTGATGCTAATGACTTCCGTTTAATGACGTGGAGTACCGGAATTGAAAAAGGAGGAGAGAAGAAGAGTGTTCCAACAGTATCTGAAATCCCTTAGAAAGCAGGTCAAGAGGACTCTTGAAGGACTTTCCAAGCTGCCTACTTCAAATCCATAATTTCAGCTTTGTAGCTTGTAGGTCTTTAAACATACTGTTTCTTGCTGTATTGACAACCATTTAGTTTGATGATGGGATGAGGGATGTGTAGTGCTGCTGCTCACTGGGTTTACATTGCTGGGTACTGTGATGTTTTATTTGCCCGTGTTTTGAAATGGCTAAATGATCAAATGAAATGGCAAAGGAAGGCTGGCTGGATTAGGGTGCTGGGAGAACCAGTTTCAGTAAGTGTGGTTGTGGTTTTGGATGGGG